CCCCCCCCCCCCCGCCGCCTTGAATATGAAAACTGACATCTCCTTAACCCTGTGCACTGGCTCATAGGACACCCCCACCCTCCTTTCCCCTCCCCACGTGGGGATAAAGGTGAGGACCCTCCCCCAGCACTCTGCACTCCCTCAGAGGACTCCCCTCCCCCTTTCTCCTCCATCCCCCCCCCATTGACTAAGGGAAGCACTGACACCTCCCGAGCGCTCTGCACTCCCTCAGAGGACCCCACTCCCCCCCCGCATCTCTCCTCCTTCCCTCCCACGAGCCTGGGGTTCCCCCTGGCGCCTCCCCTTGGCCCTCTGCACGCGCTCCGAGGACGCCCTCACCGTTGTGGTTGACCCAGGTCGGTTTCAGGAGCTTCATTTTCCCCCCCGCCGCCTCCTCCTCCTCCTCCTCCTCTTCCTCCGCCTCCTCCTCTTCTTCTTCCCTCCGCCGAACGGCTCCTCTCGCTCCGTGTCGAGGACGGCCGCGGGCCGGGGCAGGCGGGACGGCCCCGGCTCAGGCTGCCCTGGGCAGGCGGGAGGAGGAGGCGGCGGCGGCGGCGGCGGCAACCCCCGGCCCTCGCCCCGGCCGCCCTCAGCGCCGCCTTCCTCCTCCTCTTCCTCCCTTCTCCTCCGCCCCGAGGCCCTCAGGGCCGCCTCGCCATCGCCCGTCCCGCCCGCAGCAGCAGCAGCCGCCGCCACCCGGCCGCATCCCCCGCTCCCGGCGGCGCCCCGGCAACGCCGGAAGTCAGCGGAGGGCAACGACCCAAGCGGCCCGGCGGGAAACAAGGGACGACGCCCAGAGAGGCCCGGCCGGGTGGCGCGGCGGGGGGGGCTTCCCGGGAGGCCGCCAAAGGCGACGGCCGGGGGCGGCGCGAAGGGCGTCAGGACCGCCGAGGGTTCCCGGAGAAGGAGGAGGAGGAGGCGGCGGGGTAGAGGGAGGCTCGGGGGCGGCTCAGAGGCCCGGGCGGTCGGCATGGCTAAGGCAAGGGCTGGGAGAGGAGAGAGGGACGGCCCTGTCAGACGGCGGGAAACTACAGCTCCCGGGATCCTCCGCTATGGCGGCTGGCGCTGAGGCATGCCGGGAGGTGTAGTTCGGCGGGAGGCGACAGGGAGCGAGGCGGGGAGGGGGTGACGTCATGAGTGTCCCTCCAACTCCCCGGCTCCGATTTAGAATAGAAATGAATTGCAGATTGAAATTAGAATAGAATAGAATAGAATAGAATAGAATAGAATAGAATAGAATAGAATATATGGAATGGAAATAGAATAGAATAGAATAAAATAGAATAGAATAGAATAGAATAGAATAGAATAGAATAGAATAGAATATATGGAATGGAATTAGAATAGAATAGAATAGAATAAGGAATAAAGAATAAAAAATAAAAAATAGAAAGTAGAATAGAATGAGGAGAAGGAGTAGGAAAGATGGAAGGAGAATGAATAAAAGATAGAATAGAATAAAGAATAGAATAGAACAGAATGAAGAATGAAGAACAGAGTAGAATACAATTCAATAGAATCTAATTCAATAGAATAAAATAGAATTCAATAGAATAGAACCTTTATTGTTACTTTAAATATACACCAGTCAGCATACATTAAAATGAATTTTTTTTTGCATTCAGGCCTTAAAAGATAACCATTATGCATATACCTCCATACACACATATTCAAGGCATACAAATATCTATTTATATATTTCATCATATGGTATTTATGTACTTTATTAAATTATATCTTAAAATTGATTAAAATGTATTTATCCGTTTTACTGTTCAGGTAGTTCTTGACTTATAACAGTTCATTTAGTGACCGTTTGAAGTCACAGCGGCACTGAAAAAAGCTACTTATGACCGTTTTTCACACTTATAACCCTTGCAGCATCCCCGTGGTCACCTAATCAAAATTCAAATGCTTGGCAACTGACTCATATTTATGACTTTTCCAGTGTCCCTGGGCCGTGTGATCCCCTTTGGCAACCTTCTGACAAGCCAAGTCAATGGGGAAAGCCAGATTCATTTAACAACTATGTCACTAACTTAACACCTGCAGTGATTCACTTAACAATGGTGGCAAGAAAAGTCGTAAAATGAGGCAAAACTCACTTAGCAAGTATCTTCCTTAACAACCGAAATGTTGGGCTCAATTGTGCTTGTGGACTACCTAATATTATACATAATAAAATAATATGTATTTTTACTAAAATAAAAACATTTTATTGTAATTTATTAGCCTCCTATCTTACCATAGGGGCGTGCATAAGTGCATCCCTGTCCTAATGTTCTTTTTTATTCGTATCCATTTCATGTATTCATAACCATTTATTTTTATTTATTTTTTTGATTTGTCAATCACTTATAAGATAATAGGTATAAGTATAAACATGAGTAAGAGTACAGGAAATAAGTACAAACTAATGGGGACAATAGGACAGGGACGGTAGACATGATTGTGTTTATACTTATACATGTTTATATTTATACATGTTATACTTATACTTTCATGTTTATACATGTTATCTAATGAATGCTTAAAAGTTAGAATTCTTTATTGGCCAAGTGTGATTTGGACACACAAGGAATTTGTCTTGGTGCAAATACTTGACAAAATAAATAAATAAATAAATCTCTGGGCAGCTTTATAAATTTGTAAAGATTTTTTTTGTTTAGATACTCTGATTTTTTGTTTGTTTACACCACCCATCTCATCTTGCAACCGACCAAGCAAATAAAACATCAAAATAATAAATATTAACTAGGGTATTAACGGGGGGGGGGGGGGATGCGCGCGCAACTTTTCCGGAACTTCCCCGACGAGCCTTCGGAAGCGGGAGAGCAGCAATCGGCGTCGGACTGCGGTGTGTCGCTGGAGCGGTCCTCCATTAGGAACGGAGGCATGTGGGCCCCGGGCGCGTTCAACCTCCTCGGGAGCCGGACGGCAGGCGTTTTATTTCGGTAAGCGGCCAGAAGGGGGTCCTTCGGGTGCTTCCAGCGGCGATCAGTAGGTTTTGGGGTGGATTGAGGGGGCGGGGAGCAAAGCTCGCCCTTGGAAACGCCCCGCACCAGCCCCGCCATGAAAACCCTTCATATAGCAGAATAACAGAGTTGGAAGGGACCTTGGAGGTCATCTAGTTCAACCCCCTGCTCAAGCAGGTGACCCTGTTCCATTGCAGACAAATGGCGGTCCAATCTCTTAAAAACGTACAGTGAATGGGTCACCCACAATTTATCATAATTTTTAGAACGTCGAATAAGGTTGGAAGGGAACTTGGAGGTCTTCTAGTCCAACCCCCTGCTCGAGCAGGAGACCTTATCCCATTCCAGACAAATGGCTGTCCTGTCTCTTCTTAAAAACCTCCAGTGATGGCACACCTACGACTTCTGGAGGCAAGTCATTCTGCTGATCGTTTTAGAATTAGAATTAGAATTCTTTATTGGCCAAGTTTGATTGGACACACAAGGAATTTGTCTTGGTGCAAATGCTCTCAGTGTACATAAAAGAAAAGGTACATTTGGCAAGAATCAAGAATCATCAGGTACAACACTTAGTGATAGTCATAGGGTACAGTAAGCGATCAAATCATACTAGGAAACAGTCAATATAAATCGTAAGGATACAAGTGCCAAAGTTACAGTCATACAGTCACAAATGGGAGGGGATGGGTGATAAGGAGTAATGAGAAGATTAACAGTAATAGTAGTGCAGGCTTTGTAAATAATTGGATAATGTTGAGGGAATTATTTGTTTAATGGTCAGGAAATTTTTTCTAGGTTTGATAAGCTGCTATCTATTATTTCTATTCATTTGTGCCTTTATTACTTTTACAAATAACTCATGGTGGCAGACATATCCAAAACACTTTCCTTATTCTAATTTCTCTACAACCACCCTTGATTGACATTATATACACTTTTAGTTCTCAGTTAATCTGGAATGGACAACTCCGAGCGAACCACTGGCAGTCTTCCCTCCTGGAACTGAGAACAGCTCTGCCCATGAGGTAAAGTAAATCCCAAATTTTTATTTGATCCTTTCTACCTGTTAATATAAGAAGAGCTATTAAAATGTATTATTTTCCTTACCTTCTCTGAGAAATGGTGGAATCTTGTGGTTAGGTTCTCCATTCACTTATTTTTATAATCCCAAGAATTGAACGAGGTTAACTTTGGCTGAAACGAATGAGCTGAAATTATTCCTGGATGAATTGTGATTGAAATCTTCATCCTGTTAATTACTTCTGAACATTTCTCATGTGTTTTACCATTTGTTGAAACATAGATAAATAACTATAGCTTTCTTGGCTTAGTCCTGTGAATGAGGCCAGCCAGGCTCCTTACAATTAATATACATGTTTTATCTTTACAGTGAACAGTATCTTAAGGAAAGGTAATTTGACTGGGAGAATCCATTAAATGTTCTGGAGTGAGGAACTCTGCTTGCTTTTCCAAGTTCACATTTCAAATTAATCCAATGCACTTAAGTTAATCAATATGGATGTAATGTAATTTCTGCTTATGTAGGAAAAAGTGCAGCTGAATCCAACAGGATTTACATTTGAGTAAACACACACGTGTGCAATCTCAACTTCTGACCCTAATGGAGCCTGGAAATCTGTCTTATATGACTGACTCAATTTTACAATTTTTTTCTATGGGTACTTTTTTTTGGGGGGGGGGGGGGTAAAATCGGCCCCAAAGACAGGAAATAGCAAAAAAAAAATGTCATAAATCAGTCATAGGATTGAACAACACTACAACCTTCCGTGACTTTGAGATTTTTTTTCCCATTGAAGTCATTCTGAGACGGCGAAATAGCATTCTATCAAATTCAAGTGACGGCTAATATTTAATTTATCCCCCTCCCCATCCATTAGAGCCGAGCCCCCGAGGAAGAAGAAAAGGGTAGATCCAAAGAAGGACTACGCTCAAAGAGAACGGCTGAAAAAGAAAATCAGAAAATTGGAAAGAGCAGCTCAAGAGTTGGTTCCTATTGAAGACTTCATCATCCCATTCAGATTCATGGATGAAAAAAGGTAACGGGACACTGGGCAGGTGGGATCATTCCGGATGGTTACTGCCACTTTTTAAAAAATTTATTGAGCATGTTTGTTCATGTCGGCTGCGGGATGAGTTGATATCCACACGTCTCCAAGTGACTGAACAAAGATCATATACTGTCATAAATATGAGTCAGTTTGCCAGGCATCTGAACTTTGATCTGAACTTTGATGCTGCGACAGTCATTAAGTGTGAAAACTCATCATGTCATTTTTTTCAATGCCATCATAACTTTGGTCACTAAACGAATTGTTAAGTCAAGGACAACCTGTGAAACTACTAGCTCAATACCTGTGCTTCACTATGAAACTATGTGGTCGGGCTTAGTTTTTGGGGAGGAAAACAAGGGGAAAAAATTGTGCCTCTGCCTACCAGCATCCATCGGTATTAATCTGGCCAGCGTCCTGTCAGTGTGTGAGAGTTGAGGGCTATTTGGAAACTGAAGCAGTATTTGCTGTGTGAGCAAGGAGACAGCAAGGAGCCTGGGCGTGGCTTAGCTCAACTGTTCTGTACTAAAGCTGCTTGGTGCTCTGAAACTGAAACTCCTCTGTGTTTTGCATTTGGAAGAGATTTCTTTTCAGGTGGGGAGGGGGAGTAGAACTCCTTAGCATCAGAGTGTATTAATAATAATATAGGAAATACAAATGCTCTGATGGTCATTTTGAAAAACCCTTTCTTAGTGAGCCCCTAGAAGCTAAGAGGAACATACGTGCCAAATTTCAAGTTTGTAGGCTTTACAGTTCTGGGGATTTTGTGATGTATGAGTGGGATTTCGCTTTTATATAGTAGATAAAAGAACTCAGTTTAGAAAAATGTCCATGTGTTTATTATTATTATTATTATTATTATTATTATTATTATTATTATTATTATTA